GACAGAACTGCGGAGGGCCAGTGATTGAGAGTATTATGCTTCTACCCCCTTGGCATTGCCATTATTTATAATTGTAAGAATTAGGGCGATTTCCAAGAAAATGATATGGTATAGAAAAAGTGCAATTACTGAAGTTAACAAAATAAAACTAAAATAAATAAAAAATGAATATATATATTTATATAACAATCTAATGATCATAGAAAATCAACACATTTTGGTAATACCGCATAAATGTGAGGATGTAAAATGTAAATGCTAAGCTAGTCAATTCTTGCACCTAAATTTTTCGTTCGTCAAACTACGTATGATTCCACGAAACACCAATACCACAAATTAATAATTAATGCTGCTTAGCATCTTGTAAGCATTGCACATATCCAGACATTGCCTACAAAAATATCCAATAATCATTTCAAACGAACCATCAACAAATGTTGATAAATTCGGTATTTTGGATATTGGTGTTTCACTCATTTCAGAGCATCATATTTTTTGGCCCCCGGTTTATATTAGGATTTATTACTAAGAAAAACAGAAAACAAGAAAACTAAACTTAAATTTAACACAAAAAAAAGAAGAAGATTATATAAATAATTAAATAGATAAAACGATGAGGAAGGATGTGATAGCTGTAAGCTATGATCTCGTGATTAAAGATAAAAAAATAATATATTTTGTAAAGGGAGATAAAATGGTTATGAAAAACACAGTGTTTTATATATATATATAAAAATATATATATTATATACGTATTTTTTCATGAACGAAATTTGTAGAAGAATGGGAGCACAAGCAAACTGAAAATATTGTGTACGTATAGAGAGCGACGATGCGTGGAGAAAGTTTGTTTCTAGTGTGATATTATTTAATACTATATATTGTATTTACATTTTTTTTTTATATATAAATATTATTAATTAATTACTTTTACAATTACTACTATTAAATTAATTTCTGTCCTTCGATCGTGCGCGTTGCATCTCTGAATCGACATTTTTTTTTTTAAATTTACTACAATGCCACTAATCAATATGAAAATAAACTGTATTAAGTATCAATTGAAATTGTGCATTATGAATCGGAAATGTTTCGCGTAACGAAAATGTTTCTGTAATTAGTTGATTGTAATTAAAATATTATTGTCAGTATACTTATTGTAATAACAAATCCGACTAAACGAATGAAGCAGGACTTGAGAAATTGTAAATAGATATAATATATGTTTTTTTTTTTTTGATTAATTTGTTTGTAATTTATTATTTTTTTTATTGTTCCTGAATAGTTTTGTTTAAACATTTAATTTGAGAGGATTTCACGTGGAAACTAACTAATAACAATTATTTTTTTTTGTTCCGTACTTTAATTATTCCAAATATTCCTTTTCATATATGTATTTACATCTATATATAGATATTTAAAGAATGCATATATTGTTTATTTTTATTTTGTATTATTATTATTATTATGGTTAACATTTTATGTTTCATTCCAGATGAACTGTGAACCGCGAAAAGTGAAAAGATTTATTCATTTCGAGTGATTGATTTTTTTTTTAATTATTTTTTTTTTGTGGACGAAACAGAAAGAAAGAAAACATTGCCTTCTTGTACATATTGTAAATATTGTTTTCTATTTTATATGGATATATAATATATTTTAAATAGATAAGCGGTGGGCGTGAAATCGACGGTGTCGGAGTCCGCTGCAGAAATCAATTCTGAAACAGTATTTCATTGCAATTGCATACACACACACATAATATTATTCGTAATTATCTTGAGACATTTCTTATTTCTGTTATCATTAATATTTATTGCATTTCGATTTGCTCCCAGGCGACTTATTATCTTTTTTTTAAAGCTAAGAATACTCGATTTATACTATGTTTGATTCTGTTTTTTTTTATATATATTGTCGCACTTGTCTTTCATATATAAATATGTATTTTTGTTTGATTAAATGTGATGCAATCCTTTCGGAAACCCAATGCACGTTATTCCTTTTACCAAAAAAAATCTGTTTTTTTTTGTTGTTGCTGCGAGTGCATTTCGTTTCCGAACTATATTATTATTTTATTTTATGTAAGCGATTATTACTATTATTATTATTTCCTCTTACATCTTTTTTTTTGTCAACTATAGATTTTTTATTTTTTAATTATTACAATATTAACTAATTTATGTATATTTTGTATAGAGAAAACACATGACAAATTTAAGAAAATTATTTTATATATAGAAACTAGTGAGAGGATGCGCGTGAGAAAGAGCAAACGATGGACATGAGAGTGAGGTGCGTGCATGAGAAAGAGAGAGAGAGAGGCTTTTCTCCTACTTCTGTTGTTGTATGTAATTAAAAATATTATTATCGACATTTTTTTCTCTTTTAGAGCTTTTGTGAATTAAGGATATATAAAATGAATAAAAAATATTGAAATAACATTTGTAACTGCTTATAAATTCATACCCATCGTTCTCTTTGCAATCAATAATTAATTTGAAATTTAATTATCATACTTTCATTTATAAAATTCAGAGGATTACATTTTTTATGTTTTATTAATTTTATTCACAATCTGTTCATCAATGTGAACATTGAGAAAATGGATTATGATGATTTGAATGTTAATAATTACTTAAATCTATATACTAAATCTAGTGGTTTACAACGCTTCAGCTTTTTTGTGGTTTCACTGTTGTCGAGTAGGCCTATAGCCAGAACATTAGTATGTGACTCCAGTCTATCTTGGTATCTACTACTAAATGTTGGTATTGTATCCTCGACCATATCTATATGAAGATCTTCGTGTATTTGTTTATACGTGACGAACCATGGAGCCCTAATTATATTTTTTAGGCATTTTGATTGGAAGCTTTATATAATTTGTATGTTTGATTTACTGGCCGCACTCCACAATTGTATACCATACGTCCATACAGGTTTCAGTCTACTTTGTATATAAGTAATTTATTTTCCATTGATAATTACGACCTTTTCTCTAGAAGCCAGTAGACTTTTGTAAACTTTATTTCTAAGTGCTCTTAGTCTGAATATGATCTTTCCAGATACATCTGACTTTTGTTGCTTTAGGCAGATCTTGTCCATTAAGTCTTACAGTTGGACAGGTGTCTTTCTTTAGCGTGAATGTGACATGCATCCATTTTTTCAGCCATTCTTGCAGCTTATCTAAATTTCTCTGTAGATATTCGGATGCTATTGCTGGATTCTCATCTGATGCCAAGATTGTCGTGTCATCAACGAATGTTGTATTAGGAATATCTGCCGTGTATAGAAGGTAAAGTAGTGGTCCTAAAACTCTTCCCTGCGACACCCCTGATTCAATTGGGTATAAATTGTCTTCAATTTTTACCTGAAATATTTTATTATCGAGATATGATTTAAAATAATTATATGGCAATTTTGTATAGTAGTCCGAGGTGCCAGACTTTGTCAAATGCATGATTACAATAAAACAATTATGATTTGACTCTATTTTATTGGTTCAGAACATGATTCTTCTTTAGTCTATATAAAAGCGTACTAGAATATTTTGTATAATTGTTCCAAATTTTCAAGTTTGAAAACAGGAAATATATATACTGACAAACATTTTGCTTCATTAAATTTAGATTTTTTAATGATATATATTTTTTTTGTTAGTGAAAATATTTATAAAAAGAAATGTAATTATAATTAAATGTAAACTAATTGTTGTATGTTAATTTAAATCGTAATGGAAATTTGGTTTGCCGGATGTAAACGTGATTAGGAAGTTGTTACTTTGGTGTAATTCAATTTGGTTCTGAAATAATTATATAATTAGCTCGATTAGTATATAAAATTGAGGCAGCAGTTGTGAGCAACCAGTAATCATGAACTCCTTCCAACCGATTCCTAACGTCGTCGATCACGGCGATTTTCTCCGTGACGTTATCGAGATTCTGTTCAGTAACGTAGTTTTTGCCGGTCACAGCAATAAAGTAGTCCTGTGGAAACAACCGGAAAGTCTCAAGGATCTCTTCGATTTCTCGTTGGACCAAATTGGAGTTACCCAAGAGAAACTCCTAGTTTTGATTAAGAACACGATCAAGTTCAGCGTGAAAACGGGTCATCCATATTTCATTAATCAACTGTTTTCGGGGTAATTAACAATTAGCGTTTGCAATGTTTTATACATCGTTTCCGTAAACTTCAGTTTGGATCCGTACGGATTGGCCGGTCAATGGTTAACGGATGCTCTGAATGCCAGTGTTTATACTTACGAGGTGGCGCCGGTTTTCACTTTGATGGAGACCAAAGTAATCCAGGAGATGTGCAAGATGATTGGTCCTGAATGGGGCGATGGTATGTTCTGTCCTGGAGGATCATTTGGAAACGGGACGGCAATCAATTTGGCACGGTTCAATCTTTTTCCTGACATTAAGGTCTGTGGATGCGCCGGGTGCGACAAAAAACTTACATTAATATTTATCTTAATTAGTTAAACGGATTAACGAATTTACCCAAATTGGTGCTTTTTGCATCCGAGGAATGCCACTACTCGATTCATAAGTTTGCGTCGTTTCTCGGTATTGGCGAGAATAACGTTTTGAGTGTAAATACGGACGATGTTGGTCAGATGGACGTTTCCGATTTGGAACAAAAGATATTGGAGCAGTTAGGATTAGGAAACATGCCTTATCTTGTCGTTGCAACTCTCGGTACGTCAACTTCTTAACTTCTTGTAATTTTAGTATTGTTGGATTTCTTATAGGTACCACAGTTAGAGGAGCATTTGATCCTCTCAACGATATAGCTGATGTCTGCAAAAGTTACAAGTTGTGGCTACACGTTGATGCTGCTTGGGGAGGCGGTTTGATCTTCTCGCAGAAATATCGAAGCAAGTTAAATGGCATCGAACGTGCCCAATCCGTTGTCATCAATCCTCATAAGCTTTTGGCAGTGCCGCAGCAATGCTCGTTACTCTTTGTTAAAGATAAAGATATTTTGCATCGATGTCATTCGAAAGGAGCCGAGTATCTTTTCCAAAAAGACAAATATTACGATTCTACTTATGATCATGGAGACAAGTATCTGCAATGCGGGAGGAAATGTGATGTCTTCAAGTTCTGGCTAATGTGGAAAGCCAAGGTAATTCAATAAATTATCACTGCTTCAAACAATAAATATCTTTATTGCAACAGTCAAAAACAATATTAAACATGTTTATTCACAATAATAATAATAACAAAACTGCCTCAAAGGACTATTGACTATAGTCTTTTTCTGTCCTGTTTCAATTATAATATACAAAAATGTAATTTTCACTACTACTTGAACTCTACGTGTAATGTAGATGGAGACAGCATTATTATTTCATTTTGAATATTTTTGTCAATTCACTCTTTGAGAATACAGGGAATTCTAGGGATGAGGAAGATAAAAAAAAATAAAGAAAACAAGAAGCAAAATATTGACTGCAATCTGAATTGCAGTCAATATTTTGCAATATATAAATCAAATATTAAGAGAGAATAGTCTTTATTTAATGAGACTTTATCATATTTTATTGATATTTTGACTGCAAAATGTAAGTATTTGCAGAAAACCAAATTATAATTTGTAGCTACAAATCTTACAATATATATATATTAAAAATACTCCAAACTACTTTTAGTTTTTTTTTTCAACAGGGTTCTATGGGGTTTGCGAGGCACGTGGAAGCTTTGATGGAAGTAGCGGAATATTTCGAGACGCAAATCGAAAAGCGACCTGACTTCTGCTTGGTTTCCAAAAGGCAATACATGAACGTCTGTTTCTGGTATTTACCTCGGTATCTTCAGGGAAAACGCAATATATTGAATAACACTTCGCAACTGCAAAAGGTAATCAATCATTTGCATGAATCAAGTTAAAAGGGTTGCATATATTATATTGATGTAGAGTTAATATTTTCTTTTTTATTTAAACTTAATATCATCTTGTACTTGATTAATATTAATAATGTATGAGAATCACTTGGATTGTTAATGAAACTTATGTATATTACATATATTTTAATGTATTTTTTACCAAAAAAAATGGTAGTAATTGGTGCATTTTTATAGATATTATTAAACTAAATATATTATTATAAACCAATAAGCAAAGAAATTCTTTACAATTTGTTACTATTTAAGATATTAATGGAATGATTTGATTCTATTCTTGAATACTGGGGATAATGCAAGCAAGAATTTTTTATTTGCCAATTAGTCAATATGGCTTTATTTGCTATAATCATCTGTATCTCAAAATTCGTGAAACTTAAATCAAATAGAAATATCAATAGTTCTAAAAAAAACGTTTAAAATGTGTTTATTATAATTAAGTGATTTATCTTGAATGCGTAATTATTGCAGGTTGCACCTCAGATCAAGGCGGTGATGGTGAAGCACGGATCTGTGATGCTAGGCTACCAACCGTTGAAGAACTTGCCCAACTTCTTCAGATTCGTTTCGCAAAACTCGGCCCTGACCAAGGAGGACGTCGACTTTATTCTCGACCACATCGCAGACATCGGCAGAGCCGTCTTTCCCTAACAGTCTCCATTTCCAGTGTCTTTCAAAGTAATTGGCGTCGTCTTGATAAAATTTAAAAAATAGTCTAAATAGTATTTATATTTCTTCAGCGTAACTTCATTAGTTACACAAGCTTTTTTAATGATTTTTTTTGCTGCGAAACAGGATTGGATTTTAATTAATTACTGAAATAATATAATTTTAATTCGAGTAGTTGAGGTTGCCTATAACGATAATTACAAATAAATCTGTAATAGATAATTATAACTTTAAACATTGATTTTTGTAAAGTGTTTTCTTCCTTCCGTTCCTCTTTTGTGCGAGTTCTTGTTTTTAATCCCTTTTCGGTTTCTTTCAAGTCGGCGTTGCAATTAAAACGGAGGCAAAGGAAAGGGTACTTAGCTGAATATCCGAGATATCCTATCAAATACACTACCTACACATTTAAAAAGATTTTACGACGGAAAATTTATAGACTATAAACCAATTTTATTGGCCAAGTTTTATTATTTAAGTTCTTGTATTTTCATGTCAGCAATTGAAAGCACTACTATTTTTCTTATTATCCTATAAAATATTTTTGCTTCTCTTCCACGGACGTTATAACAGACACATTCGCTTATTACGAAGGAATAGAAATTTGGATAACTTTAATTTTAAATTGTAGCTACATGTCAACAAGAACTATCTTAAAAATTAATATTTACTGAACTTTCGTTATAAACTATCCAGCAGATAAATTTTTCATCAAAAAGAAGCTTAAAAACTTGTTAAGAAATGTTAATACTTTGTTGTTAGATTTATACAAATTATTAATTCTATGACAACACGAAGATATCAATAGGCTCGTTGGAAAGGTGAGACATTCAGCTTTCATACGAGTGGTCGATGATGTAATTATCTTAAGGGGTTGTCCAGAAAACTGTAGAAATTAAAAAAACGTCGTTTCTCTGTTTTTTCAATTTATAAAGCTAATAGCAGGCGACTCTATGAAAACACGAAGATATCAGTAGGCTCGTTGGAAAGGTGAGACATTCAGCTTTCATACGAGTGGTCGATGATGTAATTATCTTAAGGGGTTGTCGAGAAAACTGTGGACATTAAAAAAACGTCGTTTCTCTATTTTTTCAATTTATACAGCTAATAGCAGGTGACTCGATGAAAACACGAAGATATCAGTTGGCTCGTTGGAAAGGTGAGACATTCAGCTTTCATACGAGTGGTCGATGATGTAATTATCTTAAGGGGTTGTCGAGAAAACTGTGGACATTAAAAAAACGTCGTTTCTCTGTTGTTTCAATTTCTACAGCTCATAGCAGGCGATTCGATGACAACTCGTCGAATTATTAATTTCATACATTTATGAACACAAGATTTATTAATATTTATTCATTGAATGTTTTCGAATACATCTAAATTATTGTGATATTAAATAATGTTAATAATAATATTTATTATAATAGTTATACAGAATACAAAAGTATATAACAATAATATTAATAGATTATTCATTGTGATTGCAAAGCCCACTCCATATTAAAAATTTAGTAAAAAAAAGAAACATAGTAATCGATGTTGACTGGTTGCATATATTACAAAACGCGCATTGACGTTGAAATTTTAAATTTGAAAAAAGTTCGGTTCGGCGGTAGCTGGCGAAATTGTGCTTGACACAAGCTAAGTGAAGGGAGTGAATTCATCAATTCCGAGACTCAACCTAGTCCAGGTGTACAGAACCATGGAGTCCCGATTTGGAAATTGTTTATATTACTTTCCTTTGTTATATGTTACAGTAGGGACTAAAACTGAGCACGCGGTGGAAACTGACGAAATTGGCTCGCAAGCCACAGTTTGGCGAAATTGTGTGCGACACAGGCTAATTGAGTAAAGTGGTGGAGAAATGATGAAGAAAAGTACAACTTTAGAAATTATTATATAATTTCATATAAGTAATTTGTTCTAAGAAGAAAAAAACTATTTACATTAAGTCCAATGTTTTTGAGTATTTTTAAAGTAATAAAGTCTAATTTAATAAAATGAAGAATTAAAAAAATAACAAATAGTTTTTTTTAGTTAATGAATAAAAAATATATTAAATAAGCAATAAATTGGTTTTAATTCAAATAAAACTGTTCAATATTTGTAAATTAATTGCAATGATTTCTGTTCATTAATCGTAATATCATCAGTCCTGTCTCTAATATGAATCACCGATATAATAATACAGATATCCGCCGACTTACGAATTCCCGGACATACGAACAAAATTCTAAAATCTCTAAATTATTGCAAGGAGATAAATAGCAATAAAAAAAATTAACTGTCCAAACAAAAATAGATAATTTCTTTAATAAAATATAATATTTTTGGAAGATCTATTTTTTCAAATTCCCCCGATTTACGAACAAACCCTTTGGAAGTGAACTTGTTCGTAAGTATATATATTAGAAAAAAATTAAACTAAAAAAAATAAAAAATTGATTTGCACGAATAACACTTCAATTGTACAATTGAAACATTTTCACAATAATTTGTCGTTGAGTAAAATTCTATGCAATTAAATATATATACTAAATTAGATTTGACTATTATATTTGGATAATTTATTGTATTTTATTCAATATATACGAAATTGTACAGTGTTTTTCAAAGTGTGGACAGAAAAGCATAAGAATTACTATAAAAATTGCACTTACCTCGTTTGAAAATTAAACATTTGATTATGTAAAACGTAAATAGATGTGTATTCGAAGGATGTTTTGTACGTAGGATAGGAAGATTGAAAAAGAGGGAAAGGCGTTGCACGGTTTGATGTCCATGCACGAGAAAGCTGAAGAAAAGAAACAAAACTTTTATTGAACTATACACATTCATTAGCTATGTATCATAACTTACGAGCTACGAAACTTTATTTATTACACATGAGTGCGATTATTTATAACCTCACAATAATAATGATAATCCTAGAGACACATGCATACATCGTAAATATGGTCACAGAGCAGAAGATTGGAAGTCTTCTTCCAACCATACGCGAATCAAATAAAAACAAAAACAACTTTTATTTCGCATCTGCTGCTGCTGCCTACAAAAGAAAAAGATTTACACTCAGAGAAATCTAAAGAAACCTGCTGGACACATCCACAACCTTAATTCAAATTAAATTTTACAAAAAAAAAGAGTACACAACAACAACAACAATAACAGAATACAAGAAATGTCTTTCTTGCTACAGATTATTTCCTTATAAACTACTATAAAATACAAGTACATCCATTTAATTATACACTTAGATTACTACTTTCCTGTTGCCAACTTTTCCTCGCTTGCTACAAAGCAACGAACGGCAACATACACATCTCACGCACTTGTTTTCAATTCGGATTTAAATCTTTGATGAGATTATTATATTTTTTTTTATAAACGATTTGCAATATTCATAAAGTATTATAGACACTTCTCATTCCGTCCTTCACTTATGCATATCACGGTTTCATGTAATAATTATCACAAGGTCCTCTTTTTAACTTATGTACATTTATTTGAATTGGATATTTGTTGAAATAAAATACAAATTATATTACACCCATCTATAAATCAAGACCAGTACAAACTAAGAACACGTTACAAAATCTACAATCCGAATTATTAGATTCAGCTCATTCGGAATTGACTGTAACGTGTAAATACATAAAAATTAAAATCACTTCGTCCTAAAATCGTTAAAGAAAAATATCGCATCCAAATTATCATAATAATAAATCATATTGATAACACAACATTATTTGGCATGTTTTCATCTTATTCACAATACAAATTATTACTTTTTAAATCACACTTTCTTTATTTTTTGATTATTACTTCTTTTCTTTTTTTTTGACTTTCACTAGATTCATCATTATCATTATATATTTCTATATGTAAATATTTATATAGATTTATTTTTATAACACAGAAGATAAAACACAATATTATTTCTCACCTCAATGTCAATGTTTCCGTGACAAAAATATAATCGAAAAATTTAATAATAATCACAACGTTGTCGTCAATTGCATTCTTTTATTTGCCTTTCCATATTGCTTTATTCTATAAATTCCATTTTAGATTCAAAGTTTACTTTCTCAAATCTTAATGAAGAAATCATGGTCAGAAATGTTATGAAGCTTCGAAAATATAAATGAAAATCAACCTTATTTTTTTTTTCTTTAATTACAAATAAGTTGAAGCAAATGAAAACTAGTAAACAAAACAAAGCAAAATTGCCCAGCAACAAAAATCACAAAATAAAATTATTTTATATAAGAATTCGAAGACTAAGAAACTAAGACAGTTTAAACTTAACAAAAAGAAAAGCGCAAATTACAACAATATATGATTTTTTCAAGAAATTAACGACAATTTAATTATCATCATCCTGTTGATATCCATCCAATTTCTACATCTAAATATATAAAATATCATCTGAATTATAATATTATTAAAAGTAGGAACATTGACTCGTTAAATATAAACTATTCTTTTCTTTTTTTTCTATGCCATTTTCCTTACTTTACTGCCGTATAAAGTATTAAGTTTCAGATACATTTTGGCCGGTCACAGTATTATCTATATGAGATATGAGCCCCTAATAGATTACTCAAAAATTTAAACTAATTTTACTTGTTTAAATTCGTTTCTTTTTTTAATTTTATTATATTTTAAATATATATATATATTTAGTTATTTTCACAATATGAATAATGTTTATATTTATAAGTATTATAGTAATAAGTACAGCTTTGAAACGACTTACTCTATTTAAAAAAAAAATAAGTTCACAATCCGACTACGATAAATATAATATAGAATTTCTTAAGTTACTCTGTTTAAATTTTCTCAAAAAATACGACAAAATGAATTTATTGTTTCCGGACGAATGCTTGTTTTGTATTCTTCCAATACTTATTTCGTACTGAAAAGACGGATTCTTCAGTCCAATGCGGAGAAACTGAGGTACTTAAGAAAATAATCCTGCGCTGCGTAACGACGGACAAGAAAAGTAAATCGAACGGGAAACTAATCACTTTTTGCTCTCCCTGTCACTGGCGCTCACATAGTTCAGAGTGGGCGCGGAAGGTGTATGTCCCACGTTCAGGTAGAATCTGCAACAAGAAAGTAAACTTCTTTTACGAATTATGTTATCCTTGGACTACGGCTAAACGGGAGTAAACGAAATTGTTAATGTTTTAAAAGCGA